GTACTGGACATTTTGTCTTTGCTCTTATTTTTATTTTTCAGTAAATTCCTCCAAACATTAAACAATGCTACTCCCAGAACAACTTTGGTAGAGATCAAAAAGAGTATGGCATGTTTGCTCCGTGTCACCACTGCTACCTTCCAGGTATCAAAGAGATAGATAAAAAATGTTATTTCCTTTGCTCTCTTCTAAAGGATTTTGCCTGATTTTAAAAGCTAAAGTAAATTTTGGGGAACAGGGACTTGGGAAGATGATTAATTTCAATACAGTATCTCACCCATTACAGTTTTGCTGAAATTATGATGACATCTATCGATAGCAGTGCTTTACTTTACTAAATGAAATTTGTAGTACTAGGAAGCCGAGAGTAATCAGAAGTTGAATTACTGTCTGCTGTCAGCAGATCTCTGTTTTCACAATCAGTCTGAAGGCATATTCACATATCCATATACATTCATGTGTACAAACATCTACATGTATAGTCACTCTATATATAAGCCTGCAATCCCCATCCCAGTGATCTGGAGAGAGAAGTAAGAGTCCTCACATCTTCGATCACAAAGTGAACATTGCTACACACTTCATCTTCAACAGTGTGATGTTTCTTCAAGGAAAATAAAAGTCCTCAAAAATGTTGAGGATCTGGGGGGGGTTGCTTGGGATAATTGGAGTCCCAGTAAGTTCACGTTATCTCCACTGTTATTAGTTGCTGAAACCTGCTGCAGCCATTAGAATACACATAAAATTTTAACCTTATAATAAACTGAATGCGTCAGGCCTCCACATACATTAGGTTGCACTGGGACCTATCCAAATTAATTAATTAATTAATTAATTAATTAATCGAAACATAATAATAAAAATAATAAGCCCCACACCTGCTTATTTCATCCATGAATTCAACGTTTGGAATAAGACAAACTCTTAGAAGGCCTCAGGGGGAGGGAGAATATTCAGATGAGGCTGAAAAAGCCCACAGGGGAAATTGCCTATTTCATTTCTGGAATGTGCACCACGTGTGTCTATTTTTGATTTTGAACTGAGTTCTTCTGTCTTCTGCCAGAAGTCCTCAGCTCTGTGCTGGTGCAATGAGAGCAGTGGCCCAACTATCCCTTAATAGCTATTACTTCTTAATAAAGAACAGCACTTAGGCAAGGGATGAGGTTACTGTCAGAGAGGTCATGATTAATAATGATTAATCTGATCCTTGCCAACATGAACTGGATCTACCATTCACTAAATAATTACTTTGCAGCATGGATACCTTTTCCAGAAGAGGCATACATTTGTCGTATTAAAACTAAAAACAAATGCATGGAAAGGCATACAGGACCTGAGTTTGCAGTAACACTTGAGCTCACATGAGCCACCAGAAAAGATGAGAACAAAAATAAAAATCAAAGGATAAGAGTTGTGATAAAGAGCCTATCTTTTGGGTGAAAAGCAGAGAAAAACAAATAAAACTAAATCCAACAGGCAGAGCTCTATTTATTGAGAGCAAAGAGCTCTTTGCTACTTCTGGTTCTCAACCTTATGCATGCCCTTAATACACATGCTATTTGTCATCCCACACGATTTCCCTGTCATGACATTTTTCTTCCTCAGAACGTATAAAACAGCTGAAATCACTCACCAGGAACCATTTTTCTTGCTTTAAGTTAATATACCATTTAGTACAAGGAAACCTTAACCCAGGATTGCCATTCTCATGCAGTAATGCTCCTCAAATAATAAGCAATACTATAATAATTTATAGAGAGGCATAAATTACTGGGAAACTAATAATCACCCTGAAGAGCTTATATGAACCTTACAATTACTGTAGGATGTTTGTGGTGTGGAGATTTGGTCTTGGCCTTGAAGCACAGATGAGTTTCATTCCCACAGAGCACACAGACAACTAGAAATGGTGCCAGTGGCAGCCAAGGATGCTGAGGCTTTGCTGCCAAGAAATGGCTCTATTTTGAGGCTGCTCTCTGTAATCCCACTCTACCAACCCAAAACTTCAAGACCATCCATGGCACAGAATGAAGATGGAGGATGGCAAGTATACCCAGTTGTACTTCCTTGGAAGTTATCAAATGCTTTGTGGTGTTCAACTTGAACTGCTTAGCCTTTTCCCTCAGCATGTAGGTTTGATTTAGACTGGGAGGCCATAAAATATAGACCACAGGCCCTTCTCCAGCTCAAGTGAAAATTTAACATGACAGTTGGTTTCCTTGTGACTGTATGAAGTCTCATCGTCATGAGAGTTTGTTTGGACCTCTGCACTCAACAATGAGAGGGTCAAGATTAATCAATTGGCAATTTGCATCATGGAAAACACCATAGAGACAGGGACCTTTGGATGTCAGAGACAGAAAAGCAGGCTACATGTTGGGAAGGTAAAGGTGCCCTGCCTTCTAGAGACATGTTGGAGAAATACCAGTACATTAAATCCTCAACAATAGAGTCACATCTTGGTCAAACTAAAGATTTTCAGTGGTGGAGTAGCATGTCTGTGACCTTTCACAAGTTTCCAAAGTATGATAAATATATATATATATATTCTTTATATATATTCTTTTTTTAATCACTGCTTTTTTTTTTGTTTGCTTGCTTTTCTGCAAAAACTCTGCAAGAATGTAGGTGGCTTGTCCCAAATCTATATATACATAGATCATGACATTAAAAACATATTTTTGCTTACACTCAAGCACTAAGCAGATGAAAAAAATTGCACTTTCACAGAGTTACAATGAATTTGCATTTCTTAATAGGAAATGCAAAGAAAGAACAAAAAAAAAAAAAAAAAAAAGGAAAAAAAAAAAGGAAAGAAAAGAAAAGCCTCTAGCATCAATAATGAAGGTACATTTTTAAATTCTGAGACTGGGGGCAGAGAGGAAAAGACCTCAGCAAACAGAACTAAATCCAATGCAGTTTTTTCCCCTTCACAAAGTGAAACAAGCTGTTTCTAAAATAATGCTTCCTTGGTTTTCTGGCAATTAGTGTCCTGAAGGATTAGCCTACAATTGTCGGCAAGTGTTTGCCTTTCCCAGCCAATGTCACCATAGAAGTCTGCTTTTACTTACAAGGCCCAAAGGATAATTTATAAGCTGAGTTGAGGTCCTGCATTCACAGACAAATGTTCCACCCTGCCACCCGCCCTCCTGTATGAACTTCCTCCCTATCTACCTCCTATCCCCTGAAATCCTGTCAGCATCCTGACAGAGGCACAACAGATTCAGCACTTTCCAGACTGAATCGAGTGCCTACCCAAAAGTTTATGCTGTTACAGCAAATAAATAAATAAATAAATAAATAAATAAAACAAATCCTGAGGTGCTGAACATCAAAAATTAGATTTCAGAAACTAACCAAGGATGAGGACTAACTTACTGCTGTCCCATAAAGCATTTAACAGTCTTGGATTGTTTTTTTTCCTACCAAAAGCTATTGCACCTCTCTACATTTTAAATATTGTGATGAATGTACTTTAGGTCTAACATAGAGTTTGTTAGAAACAGTGTTTTGTGAATTGCTCCTCTGCATTCAGGATGTTCCCTCTCCATTTTTAATTTCCACTGCAAGAGGTCTGACCCTGCTCCATCCTTGTGGTAAATCAAGAGGTGCTTTTGTACATCAAAATACAAGAGTAAAATTCACTAAAGTGTTTCATTTATATTTTTCTCTTGATGTGATAGAACTTCAACATGAGAAAATTAAGCTTGTATTTGTGAGAATGGAAAGTTATTCTTTAAAGAGAAGCCATATAAATTCTTGTCTCAATCACAAACTGATAGTATAGTGCAGGACTATGATTTTGTTATTTAACAATATTATTAAAAAAAAAAAAAAAAAAGAAAAAAAAAAAAAGACTCAATCCTACAAAGCACTTGTGAGAACAACACTGTACCTCCCAACACGTCCCACCATAGCACAGACAGATCTGTTCTCAGATCTTTTCTGGAAACCTCCAAAATATTGTTATTAATTAGGTTGATGAACATGCATGTTGAAAACAGAATTATTTTCCTCTTGAGAACTCAACCCCTCTGCCAAAGACAATTAATCTGGAGCTTCCAGACTTTTTCTGTGCACTGAATTTGCTTCAGATGTGTACCTGAACACAGGTGCTCACAAGCTGCAATAGACAGCAATCAGCCAGTTTTTTGACATTTCGGATCAATGGCTTCTCTCTACCGCAGTGAATATTGGATAACCCACTATCTATTAAAACACATCTACTCAAGCCAGATTCCACTTCATCTTTGGAACAAACAATCACTGGATTCAGATATCTCTAGCTGGAAGGACAGAAGGCAACATCAACCAAAAATTTTTGCAGGGACAAACGCAGCTGGTCAGAATAAGTGCAAAATGGTAGGAATAAACTATCTATTCAGAGCACAGTCCCCCTTCTCTGCATTTGCTGGATCCTACAAGTAGTCCCACTGACATCAATTTGACCAATTTTAGAATAAGGGGCCATTCAATCTGAGTAATGGATATTGAAACCTGGCCACCAATTTTCAGTTTGTGAACAAGTATTTACAAGTCTATCATGTCTAACCCCAGTAAGGAATGTTCTACTGGTGTCACTTCAGAACAAAATCATGAGGAAAATGGCACATTTCTTTTTAATGACTGCATATCCAGGCAGCTACAGTTAAGAGAGTAAAAGTTGTGTGCATTTAGTCAGCAAGGAAGTGTAATAGTGTTTAAGAAAAGCATTGCCTGGAGTGGATTATTAAGAAGAACAAGAATTCATGAGTAAATAAGCCAGATGGGAGTAAGTCAGGCTGGGGCATTCCCAACTCTGAGTACAATAAATCCCTAATCTTGCTTGAAGTGTTTTCTACAAATAACAAATGCAAAAACATTAATGCGGTATCACTGTTGGCCATGATAAAGATTCTATTTGTGTCCAGAAAGCCTGTTATGTAGCTGCACAGTTTAAATAAATCAAACATTAACACATTCTCTTATTTCTTCTCCAGTAAAAGTACATATCGACTGACCTGATCTGAGTCTTTCATTTGAGCATTTTTCCCTTTTCTGCAACCACAGCTCATGAGCAGTTTTGCATCTCCAATGACTTTTCCCTACAAGAGAAAAGGCAAAAAAAAAATACCATTACAACCTGAAATCAAAGATTGAGTTGTTTGTATTTAAGTCAAGAGACAGGGAAAGAGAGAGCATTAGCGAAACCTGTGGACTCATCTTTCATTGCTTTGAGATGCTCTTCCATGAAGAAGTAGCTCCCAAGCTACTAAGGAGACTTCTCCAGGGACCATCATTACCTCATTAGTGGAGTCACACAGGGGTACAAGGAAAACACAGTGTATGGAAAAATAACAGCAGGAATATGAACAAACCAAAGTGAAAAAGAACAGGTTATTTCAACCCAGTGCTACTTCAATCCAGGGATTTTCATACACGGACATGAGTAGGAACAAATCCATCACTCTCATGAAGTACAATTGCCAGGAGTGACTTGAGGTAAAGCTCCTATGTCAGCACTCACATTCACCATTAACAAATTAGTACTAATTTGAATTTAGCATAACTAGATTCTGCAAAATACAGGCCTAAAGGCAGAACTTACCCACATTCAGACAACTGGTCCATATAACTAATACCAAATCCTTGCCAGGACTTCAACAGACCAACCTCACCCAACATCGCAGTCCTCTAGAATAAACTCTGCAGCAGCAAAAGCATGCTGGGTCCAATGGAGATTTCCAGAGGAACAACTTCCTCACTTTTCATTTGCCTACATAGCAGTTTTAAGCTGAGTTCAGCCAACTCCTTTTGATTGAGAACCCATCAGATTGACTGAGCAACTAGTTAACCTAGTTTTTTTCTAGGGACCATTTGAATCACTTTTGTTCTTTTTTTTTTTTTTTTTTTTTTTTTTT